CTTGCTAGCGAAGAAGTCTGGTGCTGAGCACTCCAATTTTCTACGGTTGAGGCGTGCTGCTGGCCGAGCATGTCATGCTGCACACTACACTGGCGCTCGTCGTCGCTCGCAGCGCGGGCGGCCAGCGGCGCGCACAGTGCTGCAGCCGCATACTATAAGCAGCGTGATCCTTGAAAAGTATTCCGGCGCTGTAGCAACGATAGCAGTATCCTGACAGTGCGCTGGTCGCTAGATCATCAATGGGAGGTTGTTAGGGAGATTGACAATCACGATGCGCAGAAGCATAGAGTGCAAGACATTGAAAGGATGATATCCAGCAACAGGCGGGGACATAAAGAGCAACAGCAGCATGCAGCGGCCGGAAACAGCATGCAGCAGCTGCCACAAGATGAGTTGCTTGCAGACGACCGCAGCGGCCTTTTGGGGTCAGGAGATGAAATAATATAGCTTTTATGACATTGTTATGGATCAATCGACCCAAAAACAGGCCGTTTTGGCGACTTTCGATTCTGTGTCTTGGTGTGTCTTGAAGACACGACCCCTGAGTCAGTGATGCCGGGTGCAAGACACGCCCCCCAAACCAGCACTGCCCAGCCCTCCCATTAGCTCCGTCGGCCTGCATGGCCTCACCGGATGTGTACCGGAGTACCCATGTTGAGGTGCGCTGCGTTATGTGCACGTTACACTTCCGCTTCCATTGTATCCGCGATTGGTGTGCTACAATGTGCGGAGGCCTCTTACCAGGCTTACCTACCTCCACATGGGTACTCTGTTACATGATGGAACCATCCTGTCATGTGTGGAGGGTCTGGCCCATCTCCTCCAATATCGGGAGCTTCTGGCCTGCAGATACCTCTCAAAACAATCTTCACCATTACCTCAATATTAACAGGCATGCACAAGCCCTGCTGGCCTCCCTAAAGAAGCTGTGCAGTACATTGGTTGCAATGCAGATGCCAAGTGCTTGATCAGTTCATGGAGCCATACATCATGGTATGCCAGGCCCAGGCCAGCATGCTTGAGAAACAAAGTGGTGCAACACGAAAGCTTGTGGTCTGGTGCACGTTCTTCTTATCTCACACCCGTCTGGCGCAGGGATGTGGTACGTACTCGGCGTCCCGCTCACTCACACAAGCTGCTCATGTTGGCGCGTCACCACCTTGCACTTATGACAACAGCAGCCAGCTACAGCCCAAACATTGCCCAAGTTGATAATTGACCTGTGTCTAAAGCCCATGCGATCTGCAGGCTTTGGGCCCACAGCTGTGCGCAGCACGCACATCACGCGCAGCGTGCATGTTATCTGTGCGCTTTCGCATATGCTGGCGCAGGCAGAGGGCACTGACAGCCACCATAAACAGAATCCTGTTATGGTTTCCTGGCAGCATCTCATGTGCCCATACACAGGCCGCAGGCCACTGACATGATGCAGGAGCTCGAGCTGCCACAGCGCGTTTGAGCGTTCCCGAGACATGGCGCTAGGCTGAACGCACCTTGGACAAACTCAGTCATTCTCGATGTGGAAATTTATGCGTTCACGCTTCTGAAATGGTTCGAAATCAGCTGGACATATTCAAACTGAGATCCTGATCAGGGCTCGCTGTCGCCAGGATGGGCACCGGCGAGGTTCGTGGACCGCCTCATCGCCACATCGTCGCGGAACGTGGGGATGGCACGGAAGTGCTGCTGCACAAGTGCCGCCAGCTGCTGCTGCTGCGCGAGGTGAGCATGCGCAGCGCCTGGACCAGCTGTGAGGTGTTTCTGCTTCGTGGAATTCCGCCGTAGTCTGGGTATGAATGCCTGCATGATTGCCCGCCTGTGAACCACTGCTCATCCTTATCGTGTCCATCTGTCCTGTCTTCACTCAGGCGTATGACCTCCGCATGAGCACGGGCGCAGCCCCTGCCCGCGAGGAACGCAGCCCATGTGCTCTGCCTGTCAGGAGGCAACCGCTGGCGGTGGTGCAGGTGCCCCTCAGTGCTCAGCAGCAGCAGCAGCAGCAGCACCAGCACCAGCAGCAGCGTCGTCGCCGCAAGTCTGAGGGGCATGAGCATCACAATGGCTCGCGGCAAAGGCCGCGGCTTGACATGCAGGCCGCCTTGCCGCCTCAGCCGCTGCAACTGCCGCAGGAGCAGCCGCAGCAGCAACAGAAGCAGCCGCAGCAGCAGCAGCAGCAGCAGCAGCAGCAGCAGCAGCCACCACATCTGGGATGCGAAGCACGCTTACCATCCCCGCACCAGCTGCACCTGCAACAGAGCTTCAATGGTGTCAGTGGTGCATGCTTCGGGGCCAACAGGGATGCTTCAGCAGCCGCAGCGGATGGCACAAGAGCGGACGCTGCGGGCAGCGCACGGCGATACGGTGCAGTGCCCCTTGCGGGTGCTTCAGGCAGGACTGCGCCCGGGTCAGCACCCCGACTGCGGGCACCAAGCAGCAGAAAAGCCGCTGCAGCCGCGGCAGCCGCGCCGCTTGTGCTGCAGCAAGCCCTGGCCGTTACCCCCCTCGTGCCGGCAGCAGCTGCAACAGGGCCGCGCACGGGAGCGGAGGTTGCAGCAGACGGTGCACCTGCGGAGACACCTATTCACAACCTGGCCATGCGCCTGTTTCATGACCCTCCGACGACTGGGCAGAGGCCACCTCCTGGAAGCTGCGGCCGCCGGGTGGCTGTAACCCTGGCGCCAAAGCAGTCCCCGCAGCTGCAGCTGCGCCAACAGCAGGTTTCGCAGCAGCATACGGACCAGCAGCAACACCGGCAATCGCGGCAGCGGCAGCAGCAGCAGCAGCAGCAGCAGCAGCAGCAGCTTGACGAGCAGGGGGGCGATGAGGAAGAGGAGGGTGAGCCCCTAGACCCGCCTACTGACCCGCAGCTCGCAACCCACGTGTCAGGTCCCTGGATTCGGTCACGACGGCGCTCCACGCCCGCCCGCCTACCGCAGCAGCTGCAACGACCAAAGGGCGTGCAACCGCCACCGCAGCATCTGCGCGGCGGGCTTCCACATTTGCAGCAGCAGCAGCAGCAGCAGCAGCAGGTGCCTCAGCACGGTGGCGCTGGCCATCGACCAGTGCCGCAGCTCAATCTGACGCGCCCTGCCATGCCGCAGAGCGCCCTGGATGCGCAATCCCAGGCGCTTGATGCATTTGGCAGCTGGGCCGAGGCCGGCGGCAAGGCCGTCGGACGCACCCACGCCGGCAGCCAGTGTGCGGCGACATGGTCGCCCGCGCACCACCCGCACGGTGCTGGCGGGCAGCACCCTGGGGACGGCCCTTTGCAGGTGCAAGTTTGCAAGGACAAAGGGGCCGCAGGGCAGGGCAGCAGTGACGAGGAGGAGGCGGAAGCAGCAACGGCGCGGCCAGGAGGCTTCGAGTTGGCGGGGGGAGGCGCGCAGGCGCCGCCGTTGCCGTACGCGTTGCCGCAGCGTCAGCATCGCAAGCGCCACCAGCAGCAGCAGGAGCAGCAGCAGCAGCAGCAGCAGCAGCAGCAGCAGCAGGAGCCGCTCCAGCAACAGCAGGGGTTGCAAAAGGGACATGTGGCGCACCAGGCGGGCCCAGCATCCCTCGCGGCGGCAAGCGCAGCCCCTGACGGCGGGACGCAGCCGCCAGAGGAGACGGAAGGGTGCGCTCCAACCCTGGCAGCGGCCCCCTTGGCCGCATCCACAGGTCGCGGCAACACTTCAGAAGTGGTGCCACCTACCCCTGCAAAGACGGGCGATGCAGCCCAGGCTGCGTCAGCGGGTGCGGCAGACCCAGCAGCTGGGGCAGCGGCCGCGAGGCGCAGCGGCGCCCGCAGCCAGCCTGGGCGGGAAGGGCGGGCGACGTCGCCGAAGCTGCGGAGGCGCCGGCTGCTGCCCCTGACAGGCATCTGCGGGGCTGCGCCCTGCAACGGGGGCAGCGATGGGCAGCAGGCACCGCACACTGCCCCGTCTCAGGTGCAGCACGACGCCGCTGGCAGAGGTTGTCCTGCTGGCAGGGTCACCTCGCACGTGGCGCGGCCGTGGGGATGGCCCGCCGCGTGCGCGGCCGCGAGCGCGACGCTCGGCCTGCAGGTGGGCGCGCCGGGACGCGAGCAGCAGCAGGTGGCGCTGCAGCTGGGGGCCGCCGTTCGGCGGCTGCTGCCCGTGCGGGAGGGTGTTGCCGGGGTCCTGCTCGAGGCCGGCCCTGCCGAGCGCACCAGTGACGCCTTCTCAAGGCTGCAGCCGACAGCCCTGCGGTCGTACAGCTTGCTCCTCCTGTCGCAGCAGGAGCACGACCAGGCGCGAGCGCAGCAGCAGCAGCAGCAGCAGCAGGAGCAGCAGCAAGCAAGCTGTGGCATGGCGGCTGCGGCGCCAATCGCAGTCCGTGCTGAGGGGGTATGGCAGCTGGCCCTGGAGCAGCTTCCCGGCGCTGAGGCTGATGTGGCACACGGCATGCAGCTGCTTTCCTGGATGCCCGCCTCGCGCGGCTTCGGCCGCCCTGGCGCACGCGGCAGCGCTCTGCTGGCCTCTGTTGCAGGGATTGCGCCGCTGATAGACGTGCAGGCAGGGCAGCGGGTAAGGGAGGGCCCCCAGCCAGCCACTGTTGGCGTCAACATATGGCAGCTGTCTATGGTCAACGGCGGAGGCCCCAATGTCGGGTCAAGCGCCTTTGCAGAGCTGTTGCAGCCGTTGCCGACAGACGAGCGCATGCATTGCGTGGCAACAGGGGGCTGCAGCTGGCTGGCAGCTGCAGGGGTCGGCGGCCGGACATACGTCTGGCGCACGTCGCAGCACACAGCAGCTTTAGATCAGCAGGATCGAGAGCACAAGCAGCAGGGCCAGCAGCGGCAAGGGCATCAACAGCATCAGGAGCAGCAGCAGCAGCAGCAGCAGCAGCAGCAGCAGCAGTGTCAAGGGCGGAAGGGCGGCTGGATCAGGAGAGGGGCGGGTCAGGATGATGGTGGCTTCTTTGATGCCCCAACTAAGCAGCAGGTCAAGCAGCAGCAGCGGCAGCGAGGCCAGCAGCAGGATGTCAGAGCTGCAGCGGGCATGTTGGCGCCAACCCCGCCTGTTGATGTGGGCAGCAGGGTGGCTCTGCCGCCTGCGACGCTCAGAGGTGTGCCGTTCACAGAGTTGGCAGAGCTCTGCTTTGTGGTGCCTCGTGCGCGGGAGCAGCAGCAGCAGCAGCAGCAGCAGCAGCAGCAGCAGCAGCGGGACGAAGAGCAGCTGGAGGATGCAGATCAGAAGCAGCCTCGTCGCAAGCGGAATGGAGGGCCTCAGCCATTGGGCGGTTCTCACGCTGGCTGGCTGCTGGCCGGCTGCTCGTCGTCCGGCGCGCTGGCTGTATGGGACATCGACCGCGGGCAGCTGCTGGTGGCCGCTTTCCCCTGCCTGTCCGGCATGTCCCACCTGCTGCCGCTGCCGCGGGCCCCCTTGCAGGCCGCGGCTGCACCTGGCGCAGACGCGGCCGACACTGCTCTGGGCCCCGGCCAGCAAGGGGAGGCGCACCTGCCGCTCATCATGCTGGCACGCGTCGCAGCTTCGGGCGGCGAGGGCGGCGGGGAGCAGGGGCCCGGCGCGCAAGGCGGGCTGGCGCCGGTCGTCCTGCATGGGGGGGGCGCATGGCTGGCGGAGCCCCTGGCGCTGCGCATGGAGGTGTCTGCAGCAGCAGTGCACAAGAGCGTCGCGGCAGCCGTTTCGGACGGCGGCGGCGTCGTGGCGTGGAACGCTCTGGACGGACGATGCCTGATGCGTGGCCGCCTGCCGTCATCGGCCAAGCCAGGCGCCTCTGGCGGCGGCCTGAACGGCCCGCTCGGCACAACTGCAGCCGCAGTCGTGGAGCTACAGCGTGCGTGTGTGGGCTTCTTTTCCGAGAGGTTGCTGATGATCGGCACTAAGCATGGGGCGCTGCACATGGTGCAGGTTTGAGCGGCAGCATTAATGTGTTGGCCGACCGAGGTGCCTGACATTTCTGGGGTGTCAACTGTTTGCTGCATGGGTCGTAGGGTTACAGAGGTTACAGGACATACAATCATGTACAACCTGCAGTGCCAGCAGCACTGCCAATGCTCCAGAATACCATGACTCCCTCAAGCATATCCTTCGAGCAGGGCACTCAGCCCTCCATATCACTCATCACGAGGCACATGCCTGGGGCAACTCAAAAATACAGCCGACTCCCACTCTCACGGCATTTCATGTTAAATTGATAATGTAAAATGAGTTTTTGTATTGTTTTGATATGGTTCAACCATCTGTCAAGTCTTGTGCGGCCGGTCTTGTGGTGATCATACATCCGCAACAGATCAATAATCTGTCAGCAGCCGCAGGCTGCAGCGCCATTGCAGCTGCCCTGCGGGTGCCAGTGCTGACCACCTCTCCGGACGCCAACCAGAAAACACAGTCAAGGCTTCCGCGCCATCACCAGGGGCCCCCACCATCCCAGAAGCGGCCAGTGCGTCCGTGACCGTCCCGCGCCTGCACAGGCCGCAGGCAGCCTCCCTTGGAACACCGTCAGTGACGCCGCCGCGCGCCCTTGCGCGCATGCACCATGCCGCGCCGCCGTCGCGAGCATCGCACCGCTCACTGAGGAGCAGTGGCTGGAAAGCACCGCCGCCATTGCTGCTGCTGTTGTCCAATGCCTCCACCCGCTCCGCGGCCGCCACCCGCACGCCGGCCACCACGTCAAACGCGGCCGCGCTGCCGCAGGTTGCTGCAGACCCTGGAGGCGAGTCAGTCCGCGTGATGTGCCTTGCGGCCGCATCTGCGGCCTTGGCTGCGCCGACCGCCAGCAACTGCCTTGACATATCCCCAGGCTCCTGCTGCCCGATCAAGCCGCTGGTGGAGTTGAGGCTGACTGGCCCAGCACTGCTGGCTCCGCCGCCCGCCAGCTTTGCGCAGCCGGCGCCCAGGAGAGGGGCCGCAGAGACCCTCAAGCCCAGGCGCCAGGCCGCTTTGCTGGGAGTGCCTCCGCTGTTGTCCCGCGTGAGCGGCCGAAGTGGCTGCTGCGCCTGCTGACCAGGCTGCCCACTCGTGTCCTCATGTGAAAATCCATCAAGTCCCCGCTGCACCTCCTCTGCCAAGCAGCACACAAGCTCCACGCGCCAAGAGTAGCCGCCGAACGCAAGGCACCCGAGCTGCAGACCTGCCGCCCCAACGGCGCCGCATGCTGCGCTTGTGTACAGTCCATCGAGCGCTCTCTCGTGCACCGCCCGAAGCTGCGAAAGCCTGACACACCCTGTGACTTCAGTGAGCGCCTCGGCCGCCGCATGCGTTCGGCGCACTGCAGACCAGGGAACGCCGCAGCCGGCCTGCAGCAGCGCGCGCGTCATCTCGTAGCGCTCTTCCAGCGACGAGCTGCGAGGATGGATGCACCGATAAGATTTACTGCCAGAGCGAGTGATGAGGGTGCAAGATGCACACCTGCTGGCAACATGGCAGCTCTACTCCCATACTCCCCTGGAGGGTAGTGGCTTTCACACCAACACCTTGGTGCGTGGAATGTGCCAAAAACCAGCGGCAGTGCGACTCTTCCCGCCTTGGCGTGTCACCTGTAATAGCGAGCCATCTCTGCCAGCGGCCATGCAGCGAACACAGCCTCTGGCATCGTCTGTGCGGCCGCCGCTAGCATGGGCCCAGCCACGAGCGGCAAGCGCACCGCAGCCCCAACAGCGGAAAGCTGCTCCGCGGTGGCCGCAACACCAACGGCCCCAGCCAGCCAGACGTCAAGCGCTGCGGCAACAAATTGTGAAAGGCAGGCAAGTGCGTGTGATCGACCGCAGACGTGACTGGCGGTACCGGTTGGGTAGCTGGGTTGGGCAGGCACCAGGCGCGCTTGCAGCGACAGTGTTTGCGCTCACGGCGCGGCAGTGCCGGCGGCATCCTGCAGGTGGCAGATGCGGCTCAGCGCAGCACCAATCCGTCAAGCGCCCGGGCCCGCCGCACGCACCTGCCAACGCAGCGCCCTCGTTCCAAACGCGCAACTCCGGCGACAGCAGCAGCAGTGCCAGTGCCTCGGCCGGCAGCTGCTGCAGCCGCGCGGCCCGAGCGGGGTCTGGCAAGGCCGACTCCAGGTTCCCAAATTCCTGGGAAAGGGCAGGCGCATTTTCGTCGCATCAAACAGGTGCTTTAGGTAGGCTACGCCCAAGCCCCATCCTGCACATGAGAACAACCACGACGCCTACGTACCGCCCTTAGAGAGGGCAAAGGGCACCGCTGAGGGGGTGGCATGAGGTGGTGCACGACTCGCAAGGACGGCGCCACCCAGCGCTTGATCTGTAAGCAAGATTGAAGCCCTCTGCTTGCGAGAGCCTGCAAGCCTTTTGCTCACCCGTGCGATGCGCACTTGCGCCATACGCCTGAGAGGCGCCACCATCTGCTGGTGTGCCAGCGGCTCGGGCAGAAGCCACAGCGCTGCCATCGCGCACTCCCATTCCATCTGGTGCGCAAACAGCCGCCCCGAAAGCGCCGAGACGCAGCTCTCAGCCACACCTGCAACATCCAGGCGATCAGCGAGCACCAGGGTGCGCACTGCCAGCTGCTGCCAGCACGTGGCTGCCGCGGCGGGACCGCTCGAGGCGGCGTCGATGCCGCAGGTGCCGCCTTTGTTGTGGCCGGCCGGGGCCAGCAGCAGCGTGGGGGCGCTGCTGCCGCTCTGGACCAGATCCTCAAAGGTTCCCGTGTAGCAGCAGCGCAGCAGCGCCACGGCAGCGGGGACGTCCTCTGGGGCCGTCACGTGCAGCACGCAAGCGGGCCGCTCGCACGTGTCGTGGTGGCGCTGCGCCCACCGCTCAAACAGGGCCGCAAAGTACGGGCTGGCCTGTGCGGAGGGCAAAGAGTCAATTGTTGACTTCCTGGTTTGAATGGGCGTGGCAGCTGCTTACGGATACCATGGGGCCAATCGTGCCTCTCACCGCGGCGAGGATGAGGCGGTGCACCGGCAGCCGCGCCACCAGCAGGCAAGTGTCGCTGAGCTCGCCGCCGGTCTCGTGCAGCGTTATCAGCGCTTCCGCATCTGCATACTCGCTGTTCAGCCAGGCACTCGCCAGCCGCGACATAGTTATAAAAAGGCGCGCAGATCCCGCACACCCCGGTTTGGTGTTGGAGGGTGTATACAGAATGGATTTCAGACATATACGACGTCCTTGCCACACAAGCGGTCCACGGGACCGTGCTCGCAGCGGGAGTTGAATGGGCGCTACCTAAGGGATGCGTGGGATGGCGCTACCAAAGGGGATGGGTCCTTGAAGCATTGAAACACGCCCAACCCCGCTGAATCGTCCGAAAGACCCCCAAGGCCGACAGACCCTGGCACGTTCGCTGAGATTCCTAGGGGTCTTTCCGTGAGAGGTCTTTGGGGCGCTTTGGCAGGCGGCCGGGCGCGTTTCAAAGCTTCAAGGACCTGCCAAGCTGTTGACATTGTTCCCGTTGCGCAAGCACCGCTTCAAGCTGGCCAGAAATGGGTACATGTGTTCACATGAAAAATTTGGCAGTCATGTACAGAGGGTGGCAAGCCCTTGTTCTGCTGTCAAGAGACAGACACGTCAGCCACCCACCACTTTGTGTGCGAAATGCGACCTACCTTGTTCCCCGAAGCGTATATGTCCTTAGTCGGGGCTGCTCTAGTGCTGTCATTATCTCCACGCATTCGCACAGTCAATGAAGACTTGTGCTATCACCATCAGTCAAGTCACTGGTCAGCTGACCTGTTTCTGGTGGCTGGCCAACGCATCGGCACCCAGTGCCACTTATGGTGGCTCCGCGGTCACATGCTCAATGTCCCAGAGCACCTTGGCACGCCAATGCACAGAGATGCAGTATCTATCTCAGGCAGGCTGGTGTTGATGCAGGTGGGGGCGTTTGAGAGTGTGGCACCGTAGTGTGTTCAGACACTGCCGCTTTAGAAAGCGGCAGTGTCTGGTTGACTGTCTGCGTGCCACCCGAGCTGACTGCGGTATACATGCAAGCGCGCATGCGCTTGACCACAGACTCCCGAATGCCTCGAACAATCAAGAGTGACAGCAAATGCGCGTCTTAGACAAACTCGGGTGGCGACTGCCTGTCGAGCGAGCCTGCCGACTAGCTCACGGTAAGCAGCTTCTTGCAGCGGCTGAGCGTTCTCGGGCCTGGTCAGAGGCCATCAAGCGCATAGCTAGGTCTGCATACCGTAAGTGTAGGCAAAGATAGGCACTCTTTCAACACGATCCTGAAGCCACCCAGCTGCTCTAGGCACGGACGCGACGCCTGATCGGGATCTGCTACGGCCTCACCGCGTGGGCACGACCAGAGGCATTCCACTAGTACATCGGCACAATACATACAGCACTGGAGCATTTTGATCATTAAACAATTACACCTCAATCATATCATAGGTTCACGGCCCCTTGCACTGCACATTTACCTGCTGCCACTGAGGGGCCTCGACGAGCACCAATGGCAGGCGGTGCGATCATATCTGGCCCTGGTGGCCGCTCAAATGAGTATGCCAAGGGCCGCGTCACTCTCTACGTGGTGGTGGCGTGCTTCGTCGGCGCCTGCTGCGGCCTAGTGTTTGGGTAAGGCCCCGATATCAGTCTCAGTGTATTGATGCATCTGGTTTAATGCCTTTAGATGCGTTCATTGTCGTCCTGCGGTCCCAGGTCGTTGGTCGCTTGATCTTGACCGAACCCGCTGCCGCGCGCTCCGCTCTCCGCCTCCAGCTATGACATTGGTATCGCGGGAGGCGTCGTGGCAATGCCCGAGTTTCAAAGGACGTTCTTTCCTCACGTGCGTGCGCAAACCGTCGCGGGCGCCACCAGACGCCATGTTTGCTGAACAAGCATATGCAGTAGCGCAAAGAGCAGCAGCCCTTGACGGGCTGCCAAGTGCCTGCGGGTTGCAGGACACTTTTTGGACACTGGACCCCTAAACCGCTGGTTTGATAGCACAGCAGGCGATCAGGCCCTAAATCCCCATCCCCTCCCTGCCTTCATACCGCCCCCACCGTGGCGCCGCCAGGTGTACAAGCTGTCGCAAATTCCCAAGGGCGGCGCCGGCGCGCACGACCCTTTCTGCAAGTACGACGACCCCATGATCTCGCTGTTTGTCTCGGTGCTTTTCCTGGCCGGCATCCCCGGGGCCTTCCTGGGCTCTTGGACGAACAACTGGTTTGGCCGCCGGCCCACCATGATGATCGGCGGCATGAACTTCCTGGTCGGGTCCATCCTCATGTCGGCAGCCTCCCACATCGCCATGCTGGTGGTGGGGCGCATCTTTCTGGGCGTCGGTATTGGCATCTGCGTGCAGTGCGGGCCGCTCTTCCTGTCTGAGCTGGCACCGGCGCACCTGCGTGGGTTGTTCAACACCCAATTTCAGGTGCGCGTACAAGAGCAGGGGCCGCTTGCGTGACCCCCAGGCAATGGTTGAAAGTTTGCAGAAGCAATAGACTTCACAAGCATCTGCAGGGTATGCTTCGAAATGTAGCCTGCACAGCTTTGTCATAGGAGAGCGCGCGACCCCACAGGCCTCTGCCGAGCGAGACCAACGCCGTCCCTCCTGGCCCGCCTCGCCGCCCCCGATCCGCGCAGCTATTCATCACCATTGGCATCCTGGTGGCACAGGTCATCAACTACAGCACACAGCACATGATCATTGGCTGGCGCCTCTCCCTCGGCCTCGCCGGCGTGCCCGCGCTGCTGCTCATCGTGGGGTGCATCATGGTGCCTGAGACCCCCAACAGCCTGGTTGAGCGCGGCCACCTGCAGCAGGCCAAGATCACGCTCGCCAAAATCCGCGGCACCGAGGGTGCGCATGCGGGTGGCGCCACCTCCGCGCGCTGCGCAGCGGCGTGTGGCGGCGCCGCCAGCGCCAAGGAATTGCCAGACGACGGCACAGCTGATGCCACCCCTTCCTGCGCGCTGCCCTTGCAGCGGACCTTCACTTTGCCCGATATGAAGTCAGTGCCCCTTTCCAAAACGCACACAAAGCACCCTCCAATATTGTCTGTTCAACCTCCCAGAGATCGACCCTGAGCTTGACGACATCATTGAGGCTGCTCGATTCGCGCGCACCACGTCCAAGGGCGGATGGTCCTCCCTGTTCAAGCGCCGCTACATCCCGCAGCTGGTGATGACCATTGCCCTCCCCACCTTCAACCAGTTCGACGGCATCAACTCCATTATGTTCTACGCGCCTCAGGTGGGCACCGGTTGAGGGAGAGCTGGGTATGAACGCGCCAACTCAATCCCTGTCGGCGGCTGGCTGGCAGGTCTCGCATGAGCATGTGCACGCATGGCTGCCTTTGGGCGCTTCACTGGTGCTGCTGCAGGACAGGCACCGCATCTCCTCCTCACGTCCTACCGCACATCCTACTGTTGCGCAGCTGTTTGATGCCATGGGCCAGGGTGCCAGCCAGGCGCTGCTCACCCACGTTATCATTGGGGCCGTCAACGTGGCCACGACGCTCGTTGCGGTTGCCACCGTTGACCGGTGGGTGGCCACCAGCGCAGCTGGTATGCATGCCTGCAGACGCGCGCGCTGCTCAGGTCGCCATGGTACCTGCAGTGTTGCAGCAAAAAGTCCGCCACCATGCGAGGATCCTTGCCTTTCAGCCCTGCTCACATTCCCTGCTCCCACCTCTTGTTAACTGTTTCAACAGCCTGGGCCGCAAGTTCTGGCTGGTGGAGGCGTCCTTCCAGATGATGGCGGCCGAGATAGCCATGACTGCGGTCATCGCCACCCAGATGACGCCTGAGGGCAGCCTCCCAGCTGGCGCGACCATCGGCCTGCTGATCGTGGTCTGCTTCTTCATCGCCGGCCACGCGTGGGGCTGGGGCCCTATGGTGGGTGGCGTGGTGGCATCCGGGTGCCCGTGGCAGGGTCTGTGAAAGCAGCGGCTGGGCTGGCTATGCAGAAAAGAGACCTGGCGTAGCTGCATGTGAGGCACTCAGCAAAGTCTGATCTTTGGCCCTGCTCAACCTGAAACTACGCAGACCTGGCTTGTGGTGTCGGAGGTGCAGCCTCTGCACATGCGTGCAGCTGGTACTGCTTTTGGCACCATGGTGAACTTCATCATGAGTTTCATCATCGGCCAGTTCTTCCTCACACTCATGTGCCATTGCAAGGCGTATGTGTTCCTCTTCTTTGCTGGTGAGTACTTGAACTTTGGTGGACGCTGTGAATTGCCATTCTTGCATGGAAAGCAGTGGCAGCAGTAACAGCAGCCTCAGCAGGAGCAGCAGCAGCCGCGTTGAGCTTTGGTGAGGATTGTGCCTCCTGGTTGCGGGCACCAATCGCACCTTGACTGTCCGACGCTGTATGTAATGCGTTGATAGACAAAGCAAACGTCCCGTCCTATACCAACATCATACATCCGACCACCGCCTTGACAGGCTGGCTGCTGTTCATGGGCATTTTTGTCATCCTGTTTGTCCCGGAGACTAAGGGTGTGCCGATTGAGGCCATTGAGGACGAGCTGATCAAGAAGCACTGGTTCTGGGGCAAGGTGAGTTTTGGGGGCAAGGGCACGTGTGAGTATATGTGTGTGTGTGTGTGTGTGAAAGCGTGCACGCGCACGCGTGTGTTTGCGTGTGTGTGTAATCGTGCTCTCAACGGGTGCTTGATGAGGTGCAGGGACCTTAGAAGGATCTCTGCCCCGCCGGGTGCAGCAACCCCCCTTGCCGCGCCACTCCCTTTGCGCCTTGCGCCAGGTCATGGCCAGCACCTACGCCGCAGACACTGCCAATGCGAACCGCGCCTCCATCACCAGCGACGCCGACGTCGCAGTGTGCGACGCCGTCGCCACCAGCACCGCGATGGCCCAGGTTTCGCTGCGGCCGCGGTCGCCCCAGAAGGGCAAGGGCGAGGGGAGCAGCTCTGGTGGGAACGACATCTGAGTGCCGCGCACCGTCTAAGGGGCGCGCCTCGCCACGGCGCCGCGTGGCAGGCCCCCTGTTTTACAAGCAGAGGGCAACAAACCTTTTCCTTTGCTTGAGTACTCAGCCTTTTGTTTTGTATTGGCCCCCGCCAGGCGCTCAGTCTGGTGCCGCCTGGGATGTGCCGTGTGGCGGCAGCCAAGCCTGCGGCAGTCAACCAGCCTGACGCACCTGATCACGGAGGCAGGCAGGAGCGGGAGCACGGCAGGCAGCAAAAGCGCCGCCAGGCATGCCGCTCCTTGACTGTTGCGTTGGTGCAGCGGGTTAGGCACGCTCACACGGAGACTTGTGTGTCGCCTTGTCATGCACTCACCGCACTGGGGTCAGCGCCCTCAGCCGCTGAAGCAGCGGTGGGCGCGGCCCCGTGCTTGCCAGGCCCGCGAAGCGCGTCTCGTGGAAGACGATACATGTTATATCCTCCATGCAGCTGCCCCACGCTGGGTTGCGCCTTGTGCCTGACGCGGTGCAGTTCCAGAGCCTGCTTTCCAGCTGCTTTCCAGCACGAGCACGCGTGCGACTTATGAAATGTGTCGCGCGTCATCCCCCCCATTCAACTGTGTTGCTCGCCCCAAAGCCTCAAGCCACCCCAATTTTGAACAGCTTATGTTATTTATTGCGTTGCTGCTGCAATAACACTGATTCCCAGGTGTAGGAGCAAACAGCTCAACCTCTCCTGTTGCAAAGTAATGCTGTTGCGACGGATGGCAGCACTCTGAAGGGAAAGAGCCCTAATCCAGCTGGTGGACAGCCAGGATCAACTGCTGCGCTTGGAGACTGCAGGATTTGTCGGGTCAGGTTGCCGGTCAGCCTGACCTAGCTGGGCTTACACAATGGGGTCGAGTGGGATGATCAGGGTGTGGATGCACAGCTAGCAAGTGCTTGTGGCGGCGACCAGGCCTTGCGATTTGGCATGCAGGCTTTCATGGCCTCAGCAACCTTGGGGTTGGAGTGAGTCATGGCCTGGATACTTGCAACGTTTTCCCACAGCACACTGCCCAGGTCTGTCAGTCAGCGCAGCGGCTGCGGCTCCGGCACTGCCTGCTTTTGAAACGAGTTGCGCAGCTGCCCGCACGCCGCCGCCGCCTCCAGGCCGCGCGTCACCCGCAGCGTCGTCTCCACGCCGGCCTTCTCCAGGACGCCCCTGAAGGCCGCAACCGCCGCGTTGGTCGGCCGCTTGTACTCCGACTCGTCCACGGGGTTCCAGGGGATCACGTTGACATGCGCCGCCATGTTGTGCGACCGCAGCAGCGCCGCAAGCTCGCGCGCCTGCGGAGCCGCGGCGGAGCGTGCACGCGCGAGGGGTGCGAGGGCGCGCGGGCGTGCGTTGTCGGCGATCCGGCGGGGGATGTGGTGCGGGGGGTGCGGCCGCGCGGGAGGGTCCCCTGCCTTGGGGCGGTGAACCTGGGGCCGCGGCCTCTCCCGCCAACCGCACAAGGGGGCAGCGCGGTCAACCCGCGCCGAGCACCCCGCATGCCCAAGCGTCCCCAACCAGAACAGGGCTCCCACCCTGGCTGGGCCCCGCAGCGCTTCCAGGGCAACAGGCAGCGGGTCCCTGATGGTCGGCATCGCAGAGCCCCTTCCCCGCTCACGTGCTGCGGCTGATCGTTGACGCCCGCCATGAGTGTGTACTCGAACGTCAGGCGGCGCCGCGTGGCGGCAAAGTAGGCGACACAGTCCTGCATGAGTGGAGGTGTTTTGCGTGTGAGGGTGTGAGTGGTGCAGCGGGGCGATGAGGAAGGCACGGCAGTGGTCGTACGTGAGGGGAGGCAGGGAGGTGGGGCACGGGAGTGATCTGCGCGGAGGTGGTCCTACCTGGGGTACCCAGAGCTCAGCTCACGCTGTGTTGACTCAGCCCTGCCCCTATTCCAAAGCCGTTGAGGATACGCGCGGCAACCAGAAAGAGCGCTTTATCCCCACCTCCAGCCACCGGCATCGGATTGGCCCGCCTATCCCCCGCACCCACCGACTCTGATGCCCTGCCATCCTTGGCATCCACCCAGCTGCAGCGCCCGCCCGCCACCCTCTCCCTTCTCCCCTCTCCCCTGAACCCTCGACCCTGCCAGCTCAAAACCCGCCACGCGTAACCCATCCGGCCGCCCACCTGCATCAGCGCCTCAATCGGGTAGACCTTGGCGCTGGGGATCAGCCGCTCCCTCAGCGCCTGGTTGGGCGCGTGGATGGACACCGCCAGCGTCACCGGGAGCTTCAAGGCCGCCAGCTTGCGGATGGCGTTGGGGACGCCCACAGTCGACACGGTGATGGCGCGGCCGGACAGGCCGAGGCCTTCGTGGAGCAGCTGGTAGGCAGCTGACACGGCTGGCAGGTTCAGCAGGGGCTCGCCCATCCCCATAAACACTGTGTTCGAGAATGCAAGCGTATGTGTGTGTGTTTGTGTGTGTGTGTGTATGTGTGTGTGTGGTGTGTGTTGTTCGCATGTGTGAGTGCGCACGCACGTGCGCGCGCGTGTGTGTGTGTATGTGTGCGCGCGCGTGCGCGCTGAGGGTAGGGCATGGGTGTGGTTGGATTCGTGGGTAACCGTGTGCACGGTCGGGGACCCATTGAAAGGTACTCTGCACGGGTAGGCGGCTGACCATTTCACGAGCAGGTCATCACGGCGTCACCCAGCCCAACGTGTTCCCCCGCTTCACACGCGTCCGCCTACGCCCGCCAAGCTCCTGCCGCCCAGCCATCCGCTCGCCAGGCCGCGTCCCCCACCAGCCACCCACCCACCAACACCTGCTACCGGGGGGGGGCTGGTGCCTCCCGCCCCCGGCCCCCCCTCCCCGCCATCGGCCCTCAACGCTCACCGACGTTTGTGACGCGCCGCCCGTACACCTCCTGCAGCGTCATGACCTGGTCCAGAATCTCGTGGGCCCTCAGGTTGCGCGCAAAGCCGCCCTTGCCGGTCGCGCAGAAGGTGCAGCGCATCGGGCAGCCGACCTGACGGGAGCGGGGCGGACGCGGGGCGGCGCGCGCACGTGGGGGCGGCCATGGCTTGGGACGCGCCGCCGACGGGGCGCGGCTCGCGCACAGGCGAGGACCAGCGTGCTTGAGGCACGGGCGCGGCGCAGACTTCGCCGGCGGCACTCACTGCCCCGGCGCCCTCGACCCCCACGAAGCCGGCCGCAGCCCCAGCCTCCGCGCGGGCGTGCGCCCTTGGAGTGCACCAGTCTCAACGCCCCCCCCCCTCTCCTCCCCCCGGCCTGTGCACCTGCGCTGCAGCCCGCGGCGCGCACCTGCGAAGACACGCACACAGTCAGCCTGGACCCGCTGGACCCCTTGTCCAGCGGAATGCCCACTGCCTCGATGAGCCGCCCCTCGGACAGCTGCAGCAGCAGCTTGCGGGTGCCGCAGGGCGACGAGACAGAGTGGTGCACCGCCGAGCGGCCGGTTTTGAAACCCAGCACCTCGAGCTGCTCCCGCAGCTTCTGCGGGCGCAACAGGACGCGATGTGGATGGAGTCTCGGTGAGAGAGCATGTGGCTAAGGGCCCCAGGCAGGGCGGGGCTGCCGATGCGGTGCCCTGGGGTGCGTGACTGCTCGCCCGCCTTTGCAGCCGCCCACCCCGAAACGCCACTGGCCTCCAGGCGTGCGCCGTGCGCGGCAGCTTCCTGTGCCGCCAGCCCCACCCGGGCCGCCCCACCAACACCAGGCGGGGCGGGCGCACCGGCGGCAGCGTGCGCAGGTCCGCGATGCTGTGCGCGCCCTTTGCCGTCGGGTCGCGCGCCGACAGCATCAGCTGTTCGTACATCTGCTGGCCCCTGTAAGCCTCGTGGCCCAGGCCCTTCACCAGCTCCCGCAGCTCCTCAACCGACTGCCCCAGCAGTACAGCGCCTGCGGGTGGGGCCGCCAAGCGGCCAGAGGGCGGGGGATGGGGACGGGTGGGCGGGGGCGCGGCGCTGGCGGCGCCTGGGGGTCGGGACGCGACCTTGGGGCGGTGTGGCGGCGGCTGCGGCAGCTGAGAGATTTCCGGCGCTACCCACCTTCGGCGGTGGGAGTAACATCGCGCCGTGCCGCCGTGGCCGCGTCGGCCTGTGCCGCCGTCACGAGTGAGGCGTCGATCTTGGACCAGGGCCCGTCCCGCACGCGCGGGTCTCGCGGCACAAACGTCGCCTGCGGTACGCCGTCCGCAGTCGCTGCGCCGTCGACGTCGTCGTCGTCAGCAACGCGAGCGCGCCGCTGGTTTTGCTGCTGCTGCTGCTGCTGCTGCTGCTGCTGCTGCTGCCGCTGGGGGGGCGCAGGAATCGCGGCGGGGGCGGAGCGCGTCCGCAGGGCTGTGCGTGCTGAGGCGCGCTGCTCATTATCGGGTCTGGGGCCATCTCGGCGTGCAGGAGGCCGGCTGGCCTCGCGCTCCCAACTTGCTTCTTTGCTCCTGCTGGTGCTGCTGCTGCCCCGGTCGTTTGGGTTGTCTATGTATGATGGCGCCTGGCTCCTCGAGCCACCGCTGCTGCTGCCTGGGCGGCTGTGCATGCCACGGCCGCCAGCACCGGCGCTGCTTCCCCTGCCCCTGCCGCCCCTGCCGCCGCCGCCTTCACTGCGAGGCGTCGCTGCGGCAACGACGATGTGGCGCAGGCACTCCAGTCGTGACGTAAGTACGCACGGCATATTCCATGCCACATATGGCGTGCGAGCCGCTCTCAGGACACGGCCGGCAAGCATGTTTGCTGATAAAGTGGCGCGCCGTACGCACTGATCTGCACACCGTATGACGCAATGCCGATAATCAGACCAAGATACACAAATTCACATCCACAGCGCAGATGTCGGCCCAGCTTGCGTACTGTATTCGGCACTGGAGTGACATGTGCGAACGCAAAAAGCATCAGCAGAACACTCTTTCTGATATCATTAATCCGAGCATGAATTTTTGGATTCTTACGTCCTGCAGCTGCGGACTGCAAAGGAAAGACTGGTCCACGGTGCTGCTACCACGCTGCGCACCAAGCATTGACCATGGCTGCTGGTGCAGCGGCGGCAACCAGTGCCGCGCTCCTGGGAGACACAAGGCAAGACCAGCTGGTTGCAGAAACGTTGCTCGACATCATGGTCGCTGCCCAAGCTAAGCGAGCGGCGCACAGGGTCAGCCGGCTGGTGTACGTGGCGTCGGGGAGCCCGAGCGGTGCAGTTCAGGAGAGCGTCCATGCCAAGCTGGTGCACCGGCAGCTCGCTGCCGAGGGGCAAGGATCTGTGATGGGCCTACTGCTGGTGCTTCCGGGCTGCGTGGTGCACCTTCTGGAGGGCCGTAGCAGCACGCTGAGGGCAATTTTGCAGGGGCTGGCGTTGAAAACGGAGGCACGGGTGCGCAGAGCAGGGCTCTGAGATTGCTGATATGTCGAGCAGTTCTGGCATGCACACAAAACCAACTCCTTTGGGTACTGTCGGAGAAAGTCATCAACAGGTGTGTCTCAGCCTGAGCAACCCTCGCCCCTGCTGTGCACACAATGCCGTTGTGCCAGGTCATTTACTTGGCAGAGGACCTGCAGCGGTGCTGTTCGGGCTGGTCCACCATGGCCGCACCTGGCGACTTTCAGAAGCGGGGCGCACAGCCAGCTGGGGCTGCGGGCGCACACTCGTAAGCCACCTGCATAGGTTCCCTCGGCTCTGCTTTGGGCAGGGGCCAGCTCACGCGTGTGCGTGCGGTGGTTGCAAACTCACGTATGCAGTAGAGCAGATGTGCTGGTGCCAAACATGACTCTGAGCATTCTGCTGCAAAAGTGCAACCAACCGCAACGTGGCGGGACCCAACGCGCAGGGCTCCTCAGCGCGCATCCCTGGTGGTGGCGGCACTACGCCAGCGCGCCGCCTCGCTGTCAACGGAGCTTGCTCCTGCCTCCGAACACGACATGCCATCGGCCGAAGATGTGCTGGAATTAATTGCAAACCAAAAATTTCCCCTTCCAATGCAGATCCCGGGCTGATTTTGGGCCATGCAGTCAGCCGCGACCGGCTCCATCGGCCGGAAGTCACCAGCGGCTGGGAGCTGCCGCGCCAACGTGCAGGCACCCACCCCAGGTTACCGCCCCCCTTAGATCCATACGCCGTCCATGGGTGATCAATACATTATGATTTTGTAATCATAGCGCCATACCAGCTTGCCCATGCCCGTCAACCTTCATCAGCCAGCTCGAACTCCAGACAGCAGCTATCCGCCTTGGGGCCCGAACCAGCTCACGGGACCAGTGGAGCAGTGGTAACGGGCAATAAATGCTCCAAAGGCTGATAAAATGGTGAAGCGTTCCGCAGACGACGCTGAGGTGCAGTTGCAGAGCGCTGGCAGCAAAAGGCGAAGCGTGGCAGAGTCACCCACTTCCAGCGGAGAAGCAAGGTCCGACGAGACTCAATTTGATGCCTCGACGCTGGCCACAGCGACCAGCCTGCCCCGCCCCAGCACTGGCGCCGCCCCATGCACCTCCATGGGCAGCTGCATGGAGGCCGGCGACAGCTTTGTGCACGCTGTGTGTGCTGAACAGGGCGGCCGGCCCTACCAGGAGGACACGCACAGCCGTCATGTATGCGATGGCGCAGCCGCATACGGTGTTTTTGATGGCCACGGCAGCTCGTTCGTATCGGAATTCTGCTCCCGCCACCTCCCCAGCCGCGCGGCCGAAGCTGCCGTCGCAGCTGGCGGCACGGCCGTCGCATCAGGCCTGCGCGCCGCCTTTGCGGATGTGGACGAGGAGCTGGCACGCAGCCACCCACAGCAGTCGCACATGTGCGGGTCAACAGCATCAGTGGTGGTGATTACGCGGGACTGGCTGTACACCGCCAACTGTGGTGAGGCCCAGGGGGCGCGCACAGCCCCTGACAGGGCCCCCACCTCATTATCCGTGGCAAGATTCATCAGCGGCAGCCCCACGCCTCAAGGATGCTTGCCGATGCCTGCACAGGCCGTGCCTGGACCGTCCCGCCACCCACCCCTGCCTGTCCCCCTCTTTTGACCTGGGTTGCGAAGCCTCAAGCCACCCCTGGCCGCTGGCCGATGCCTGTCCTTAATCTCGCCTTCGCTTCCTCCTAATACCCCTGGCAGGTGACAGTCGGATCGTCTTGGTGCGCTCCCACGGGGCCGAGCCGCTGACTGTGGACCACTCACCCTCACGGCACGACGAGCAGGTGCGGGTTGCTGTGCGTTGCGGCGCGCTTGAGCGCCACCAGATCCGAGGCCGCCTGCCGTCGCTGCGTGGCACCGCATAGCGCTGCGTGGCGCTGCTTGCATTTGATAGCAGCCGCATGCAGCAGGCTGGAGCCGCATGGAGCACGCGGCTCCCACCAACGCCACAATGCAACCCCACCCCTCCTCCTTCACCCCCTTCCTCTCCTCACCACGCTCGCACCCCTTGCCCCTCGGCTCGTTTTGATTGTCCCCACAGGAACGCGTCAAGCGCGCCGGAGGCAGGATCGTCTGGCAAAACGGCCTCCGCGTGATGGGCGCACTCGCCATGACGCGCGCCATTGGGGACCACTTCCTGCGGCCGCACGGCGTCATAGCCGAGCCCGAGGTCGCCGCAGTCCGCCGCAGCGCCGAAGACGAGTTCCTGATTCTCGCCACCGACGGCCTCTGGAACTGCGTCGCCGCGGACGAGGCCGCCGCAGTCGCGCGCCGCGCTCTCGCGCGCGCAGAGGACGCGGCGCTGACGCGCGACGCGGCCGCGCTGGTCGTGCCGAGGGCGCTGACCAAGCTTGCGATGGCGCGCGGCAGCACTGACAACATCACTGTCGTTATGGTGGACCTGCGCGGGGCGGCTGGCCCGCGTGCGGCGCCCAAGGTGGCACCCATGACAGCGGCAGCCGGACCCACCACGGCCGTTGCTTCATCTGCAGCCACCCTGGTGCAGTCGCAGGATGCCGCAGCGGCGCATGTCGCCCAGCCGGTTGCATCGGCGTCGACAGCAGCTGAGAGCCCCTTTGGTGCTGTCAGCCTGCAGCTGCCGCAGCTCAACCTGCCGCGCCTCAAGACGCGCCGCGCATCGCAGCAGCAGCTGCCGCCCAGCTTTGGCTGCGGCGCCACAGCGGCATCAGCGATGGGCCGCAGCATGTCAGAGGCGGTGGCAGGCTGCGGGCATGGCCATGCGGGGGCCGGCAGCGCCGCTGCAACGCTGCTGCCGCTGGCCATGGCGCGCGCCAGCTCGGCCCCGACGCGGCTGCAGCACGGCTACACCATCACCACCGGGGGCCCCCATGTGCTGGGCCTGCGCGCCCCGGCCGTCAACCCTATGGCAGCACGCGCAGTGGGGCCAGCACAGCAATGTGCGGCGCTGTATCACGCTGCGCTCGCGCAAAGCGCAGCTGCTGCCGTGGCCCCAGGGGGTGAGGGCGTCTGGGCACAACGGGTGGTGTCGAGCACATTTTGACTGGGACCCAATTTTCCTTCTATAAGAGGATGAACATGTCAAGTTGTTGTCAATTATTTGTGTTGAGACGCATCGAAGGGCAGTTGTCACATGCGCAGCGGCCTGCAACATCGGCCCCAGAGCTGCTGCGTGTGCGTGCCACTTGTGGCCAGTGGCACGCACAAGAGTGACTGCGCCTCATTGTGCCCTTGCGCGTGCTCGCGCGCGCGCGTGTGTGTGTGTGTGCGCGTGTGTGTGTGTATGTACACTTGCACGTATGCATACACTCTCTACCAGCCCACTGCTTGGGCGTGGCGTGTGCTTGCGCCCGCGTGGTCGTACACCTGAGCAACCTGCCTGCCCTGGTGCGAGCGCCCAGGGACAGGTGCATGGCGCTGTGCGAACAGCTCGTTGGTGTGCGGGCTCCTGCAGACAAGTACACAGCAGGCATCGCACGGCCCTTTACACTCACTGCGGCTGCAACACTGCCGTTGCAAGGTCAGTTTGCTGCACTGGTTGCCAGCACTGCGTTTGTGTCTGCGAAATTTTTGTTGTGCTTGTATTGTTGCAGTGAATCGGCGCCTTCATTGTGCCACACATTGTTCAACCAAGCTATTGTTGCAGCCAGGAGAGGGTGCACAGCCTGGACAGGCGCATGCACCGCTGGGTGCTCGTTCGCAATCCACAATACAACGCGGTGGCTGAAGCTTTGCTGGCGACGCTGTCAAGCGTAGCTGCCGCCTGGGTCTGCTGCCGCACCATCAGTGTGACGCATGGAGAGCTGCCAAATTCTGCCATCGGGCTCTGCCCAGCAGTACTGGCCTCAAAACAAAGCGCGAACACAGCAATGACAAACATTGGACATGATTGTTTTCTTGCTGTCTCCCTGGATTTTTCTTGGGCCTTCTAAAAATCCATGCCACTCTTCAGGCCCACACTTTGCTGAGGAATGGCATCCGGTTTGATAATAGCCGGTTTATCATGCCTCCTACACCCCCATCCATCTGCATTTCAAGCCTGCAATCAAAGCCTGTAACATCATGACGTCTGGCCACTCTTTCTTCAAGAATCCCTGCTTTGGCGCCTCGTGTTTTGGGCGGCTGCAGCTGGGGCCTACACTGTCCGTACAGGCGTGCATCTCAGTGCTACGTTCCCTGCATTTTTACTTGTTCAAGAAGGCAGGATCATAGGAACACAGTTGATATTGTATCTGTTTGAGAAGGGAGAGAGGGCTGATACACACCAATTTTGGCTGTGTCGTAAGGGCGCCCATGGGGTGTGGTGTATCTAGTATGATAGTATCAGAACGACACAGTTCAGCCGCGCTACCCCATGTCACGGGACAATTTGTCAGACAAATTGTAGGCCCTTATGCATGCTGTTATAGAATTGTATATCATATGTGCTCTGTGGGGCAGCAACTCACCTCGCGGCGTGGCTGTACTGTATGGCAACCACGGTGGCGTAGGTCGTTGCTGCCGATCTGGTCCTGTGGCAGATCTCAGGAGCCATCCTCACAGTCTGGCGTGACTAGATCGCACACGCGCAAGTTTTCTGTGAACCGTGTCGTGTACTGTTGTCGGTGTAACCCTACAGTAATAGTTTGCCTGGCGGCCACTAAAACTGCGATTCCGTTCGATGGGGATCCAGCACGCCCTGCAATAGTACCTTGAGTCTGCGAAAATCTCCTACCGCGCTTGCCTGCACCATTGTCGCTCCTAATCTGCAAGACCACTGGTGGCACCACGCAGCAGCCGGCCCGATCTGCGGGCCATGGCGCTCGCACCTGGGGTGCTATTACCATCATTGGTATATATATTTGTGCTGTGCCTGGCGCGATGCAGCGGGCAGGGCCTGGAAAGGGACGATGACGGAAGCGCTCGCGGGTGCCAGCAACGCGGCTGAGGCGTTGAAGCAGCTCTACGCAAAGTCTGAGGCGTGGCGCCGCTCTTACTCAGCCAATGCTGCCGCTGCATGCAGCAACCGGGGCGCCAGCCTGTGCGCGTCGGATGCAGGGTCGGACAGAGCGCAGCTTCTCATGGCGACGTCCCCCCAGAGGTTCGACGCCAGGCGCAGCTCTGACATGGGCGGCTTCAGCGCCGTGGGGCCTGTCAAGGTGCGAGGCCGAGGGAGTGTGGAATACGGCATTGCACGCCGCAGGTCACACAGTGCGACCTGTGATCTGTCTTCCTGACCTGGCACACTTGCACCCCACTGCCGTGCATATGCAATGTTGCCTAAACCACAGGAGTCATACAAGATGAGAGGCTGCCTCGGTTTATACTCGTAGCTGCGGCGCATGCACGCATGCACGCTAGCGCCACATCCCCCACAAAGCTCAATAGCGTGCATCATGGACAGGCTTTGCGCACCAGTCTGAATCATGTCATCAGTGCCAGATACATGTGGGGGATCATGGCGACTGCAGTATGGGGCGACAAGTGGGCAGGGCCAAGGCAAAGCAGCAGTGGGCGAAGAAATGCGGGGTGCCGGCGGGCAGTGCACGCATCGACGCAGCAGCCCCTCGCTGACGTTTACCCTGCACTGGGCCTGCCATACACATTGCCATGTGCCAGCCGCGGCACTTTGAATCATATGCTTTGTGGTCGGGTTGCATCCGTGGAGGGGTACTTGATGTCTTTGCAGTCGCAGCTGCCAACAGCCAAGGGGATAAGGGGGCAGCAGGGTCGACCTCCTACATTTGCTACCGCCGCAAGTGACTGAAAGCTTGACCTCCACTGATACAGATAGGTTGGTTTGATGAAGTGAATGAAGGCTGCACCTTGAACTCTGACTAGTCCTGATTGCTTGAATCAAGCGCTCGCTTGTTGTGCCGGTCGGACGCCCTGGACTGCCTACCAGGCAGCACTTTGAATTTCAGCTGCGGCGTCTCAGGAATGAGGACAGCGATGCTGAGCGCTGCGACCGCGTCAGCCACTCAGCCCCGATAAACAGGCACCTTTGCAAGACAAGTATGGGTTCTACTTGAGTATGACAGGGTGCGGTTCAACAAATACCGGCATAAAGGTCTACGAGTGGTTCGGCACGTGGAGTCTTTCAGTACTGGCTACAGGTCAACTGTTGTTAAAATTAACATGGCCTGCGTTGATGCATACAGGAGCAACCGCATTTTTTGGCACACCAGATCAATCCGCGGTGACACAGCCAACATACAGCGGCAGGTGCGATCCAGCTGCACTGCTTCCCTCCAATAAACAATCACAGCACCTCTGACTAGAACTGCTGTGTTCTTATCAATCCTGGCATCGTCGACAAGGCACAGGAGCGTTTCACTACATCTACAACGAGGAGCCGACCCCATTCAGCTGGCCGGAGCAATCAAAATGCTGGGACTCACTCGCAGCAGCGTACGGCAATGCCGCAGCCTGGTGCAGCGGCCTGCAGCGGCTTTCTGCAGGGTCAGCAGGCCCTCTGCACGGGTGCAGCTGCGCGCCACGACCGAGGCTGCCGCGAAATCTGAGTCTAAGAAGAAGAAGAAGGGTATGTCTGGCATGGGAGGGCTGTTGGAGCATCGCCCTATTCCCGCACCCGGTGCTGACTGCGATGCACGCCAAACATGTGAATGTGCTGCAGACGAGGAGGACTCTGACGAGGAGGATTTCCTTGATGGCCCTGAGGTGTCTGTCAGCACTGCGCAGGTGCGCAGGGGTGGCGCGGACATGGGGCGGGTTGCAGGCTGGCCGCCGGGACAAACGCAGTGACAATGGCAGCTTGTGTGGGCCCGCCAAAGCGCCCCACATCGGTCCCACGCTCATCCATCTGCACCATGACGGTGCTTCAGGTCCAATCGTTTTTGAACACACTGTGCGGTGAGACCGACATCGCCCAGGTGGAGCTCAAGGTGGGGCTTGCGAGAAGTTGGCAGCTGTGCCTTGGGCGCGGGCGCCGCTGCATCGCACCCCGCTGTATTGAACACCCCCGCGTCGCACGCCGCCACAGCATGGCCGGCGCCCTGCATTACACACCGCTACACACACAGCGCGGGTGTGGGATGGCTTAAAACCCAGGCGCAGGTCCTTGCAGGCGGCGGGCAGGTCCCTGCACTCCAGCTGACTTTCTAGACGCGCATATCCTGAGACAACGCGAGCAGCAGCACGACAGCACATGCTGGTCGACGCGGGCCTCTGGGCACCAGCGATGGACATTGTGCAGCACTCCAAGGCATCCCCATCGCCAAACGCTTCTGATCCCCCCGGGCGCCCTGCAGCTCGGCGGCTTCGCGCTCAAGGTCCGCCGCAGTGTGGAGGGCGCCGAGCCCGCCGCCGCGGCGGCGCCCGCGCCCGCGCCCGCGGCGGCCGCGGCGCCGGTGACGGTGGTCACGGCCGGCGGGTTTGGCGGCCTGGAGGGCGCGTCCCCTGAGGACAGCGTGGACGAGGCCCTGGTTTACGTGACGTCACCCAAGGTGCGTTTTCACCCCGTACTCAGCTTTTTCTGTCAGCGCTGCGCCGTCTGAGGGAGACTGGAGAGCGACGGTCGTGCGAGGAGGGGGATGCTGGTGTGGAGACGAGGCAATTGTGATGGTTGAGACTGCTGGTGGCTGCGGCGGCATACGCTGGCAAACGTGTCCCCAAACGAGTGTGGGGCTCTGGATTGGCAGGGCAGGTGGTGGAAGCAGTATGGTTGGTGGGGCAATCGGCTGAGGTCGACAAGCGCTGGTCGCATGGCTGGGCAGTTGCAAGGCGTGGGCCCTTCCTTCTTTGCAGGCAACGACGAATGCAACCGCAGCTGCAGCAGCCAAGAGTGACAGACGGCTGCGCGCTGGCAGTGATGCGCCGCCAGCAGCGGCGGCATGCGGCTGACCCCTGGCAGCGCTGCAAACACACCCCTACCGCCCTCCCCTGAACCTCTGCGCCGCGCGCCTCGCAGGTGGGGGTCTTCCGCCGCGGCAAGTACGCCGCCAACAAGCGCGTCGGCAAGGACAACTTGGTCAAGGACGTGAGTGGCCCCGCCCCCGCAGCCGCCGCCTGCACGGTCCCCAGCTGCCTCCTGCCCTAAACGCGTAGATACCTTGTCTACTTGGTTGGCAAGGGGTCCCCGGCTGCCCGGGCCGCCTGCAGTAACAGGGCTCGTTGCTGCACCCCCCCCCCCGGCGGGGCAGCTCGTACATTCAGCATCCGGCCCCTGGCCTAGGCAGCTCATAACCTCACCGATGCTGTGCACCAGCAACCTCCCTTTTGACCACATGCGTTCTCCCTTTCGGCCACGTGATTGCGCACATGCGTGCCCCACAGGGGGACACCCTGAAGAAGGGCCAGACGGTGGCGTACGTCGAGCAGCTGGGCACGTTTGTGGAGATCAAGGCGCCGCAGGCCGGCGAGGCCGCGCGCTTCTGCCTCAACGAGGGCGACCCCGTGGAATACGGGCAGGTGGTTCTGGAGCTGGCCCCCTTCTTCGGCGGCCACATCATCGGGGACAGCAAGTACGCGTGAGCGGCGGCAGCGACAGCCAGCTGTTGGCCGCGGATCAGGGCCCGTCGGCTCGCATACCATTGTTTTTTGGGGTTTTGGGGCTGGGGCGACGACGGCCCCTCACATCGCAGGTTGCCAGACGGCTGGGGCGCGTCTCAGCGTGTGTGCAGATCCGTGTGCTAACGGGGTAGACGGCAGATGCGCTTGCTGGGGCCCTAGTCCGCATACTGCTGTATGCACATTTTTGTAAACCAGTCATCTCTGATCTGTCTGTCATGTTCACTGCAGGCTGCATGTGAAAGCATCAAGAACACATCAATCGTATCAACAAGCATTGGTATGGCAGTTTCATCAAGTCAAAGACTTCAAAGGGAGACGCTGCAGACTTCAAAGCACATTAGAGCATGTCTGACATGTCCCAGATAATTTGCTTGGCCTGAGAACGAAGGCATGCCTCAAACCCCAGGTTCACCTGCTGCCGGCACGGGCGCGGGCGCCGCGGCGCCCGCGCCCACGGGCCTCCTGAGCCGCGCCCAGCTGCTGGCCGCGAGCAGCTCCGCCTGGGCCCGGCGGTTGGCGGCCGTCAGCTGCTCCACCTCGCGCCTCGCAGAGGCAGAGCTGCGCTGGAACCGCGACAGCTGGTCTTCAGCGTCACGCGCCTCGCGCTCGGCCTGGGAGCAGCGCAAGGGTTTGGCGGGATTGGCGGGCGCGGTATACAGGACAGCAGCCCGCCTGCCGCTTCCACGCAGCTCTCCGCACACGCGACGCACAGGCCTGGTCCCTCCGCCCCAGCCCCCCTGCAGCTCCTGCCCTGAAGCACCCGCGTGTCGAGCGCGCGGCTGCCGACCTCTTCAGCTTCTGCCTCTGCGCTTGCCAGCTTCTCCTCCAGCTCCCGCAGCATGCCCGCCGCGACCGCCTCCGCCGCGTTGTGCGCCTCCTCCACCGCCACGGCCTGCGCGCAGCAAACAGCACACATCAAAACGGCGTTCGAGTTCGGCGGCGCTCCGCAGATGTGCAATCTGGCCCCGGCCTCGGAAGCCGCAAGCGACCGGCTCGCGGCAGGTGAGAGGGCCACAACCCGCTCGTGCGCACGCACCAGCTCAGCGGGTGCGCGTGCAAGCTCTCCGCGCAGGTGGACGTTGTCATAGGTTGACGCGGCCGCGTCCCTGAGCACGGGGTCGTAAGCCGCTTTGACTCGCAGCAGCAGGGGGCGATAGGTTGTCATGGCCTGTAGGAAGCCCTCAAACGCCTGACGGGGGCGCATGTGTTGAGTGGGTGGGAAGACAGCTTTTTGTCTGCAGGGAAGTCGGCAACGGGCCGTGTGCAAGCACGAGATTGCTGCAGGGTCACTCGGCCAACAGCTGTCGGCCGGCTGCTCGTGTGGCCTGTGAGGCAGCCACACCCTGAGGAACCCCTGTGGCGTGCTCCACGAGGCAGCCACCCCCGCGTGCAAGAATCCAAAGCTTGCCTGGCGGTGAGCGTCGAGGACCATTGCTGCGGCCCCATAGCCGCCGCCCGTCCCGCCAGGCAGCGTACGCGCCGCCTGCAGGCGCGCAGCCAGCTGCGCTTCGAGTCTGCGTGCGAAGAAATGCAAGCATGCTAGCGCCCCAGCTGCCGCTTGATAAGGAGAGCCAGAAAATACACATGAATCCCTCACGCATCAATTATTACCAAAACATGTACGCACCTGGCGGCCAGCGCGGGTTTCACGCACTCGTCGCCGTTGCTTACGCCAGCAGCATCAACGGTGCTCATCAGCGTAGCTCGGCCCTCGTCACCCAGAACCGGCTCAAGCAGCATCACCGGCCACCTCTATGTGTGTACAGGTTGTAAGGTTACTCATACGCGTGCAAGAGGCGTGCCTTCCATAGTTTGCAGAGGATCATCACTCGGTCAGAGCCATGTCAAAGTTTAGACTCTACGGGGCCGCTCAGTAATAGATCTTTTTTAATTCAATACAATTTTTGTTAAGTGATAAGAGCAGTATGTGCGCTCAGATCACTTCAGGGCAGCTCGAGCTGTCAGCCAGTCACTGACAGGCACAATACACCGTATGAGCCACAGCTAGGCAAGCTGCGTTGCAACTGCCGAACAACTTGCCGAATATGAGCCGAGGATTAATACTTATCGACGTCATGTATCGTGTATGGCAGCACTGAGCAGCCCACCACTTGGCTGGTGTCTTCGCCCGAGCTTTATGGGCACCATATGTGTTACCAACCAACATACATATGTGTTACCAACCAACATACATGAATTCAGCCTTTGAGCGCCGCCAGTCAGCTGGGACGCCCCATGTGGCAAACATGTATCCACTGGTCCGCTGACGAACCCACCATCTCGCTTTTCTCCAAACTTTCCGCTCTTTGCAGCTGTCCCCTCGCAC